ATATCCATCCATGACAGTACTCTTGCTATAAATGAGACAGCGCTGGTGGCAAGACATCCTCATGGCAGGGGGGTTTGGCCCTGGACTGTGCATTCCTCCCCGTGGTTTCCCTAGACCTGGGTTTGGTGACATTAGGATGTGCTGCATGACTTTGCTTACTGGGGAAGTTGTGTGAGGGTATGTCTAAACTACCCGCCGGATCGGCGGGTAGCGATTGATCTATTGGGGATCAATTTATCGCGTGTAGTGTAGACGCGATAAATCGATCCCCGATTGCTTTCCCATCGACTGCTGAACTCCAGCTCGGCGAGAGGCGGAAACAAAGTCGACGGGGGAGCCGCGGCCATCAATCCTGGACGCAACGCAAGTAATTCTAAGTCAATCTAAGATACGTCGACTTCAGCTATGCTATTCTCGTAGCTGAAGTTGCGTATCTTAGGTCGATCCCCCGCCCCCCCCAGTGTAGACCAGGTTTGAGAGTGGAGGTGGGAAGGTAGAAAGTTCTCTATGGGGTTCAGAAGGTGGTTATGGTTTTGTCGTAAAAACAGCCTGTTTTCAGTGTGTGTAGTTCTGTTTAATGGATGTAAACGGACTCTTTATAAGACCGAAATTAAATATTTATTCATCTTCTTAAATGCTTCAGGAGCTCTTTTAGTTTACGTTATTGCATTGAAGAACTGTAGTAGTTAAATGGGTTTTACTTTGGACTCATTGTCTTTGGCTCTAAATAGCAAAGATGGCTTGTAGGTCTTGTTGCTGCTGTGCCTCACCTAAATGAGAAGGAAAGGATGAAAATGCTCTGAGTATTCACAAAATAATGAAATAACGGTGAGAGTTGTGAGTTGCCAAAAACCTACTGCTCCCAAAGAGTTTTAAATCTTTTGAGTCGCTAGCACCAACCCCAGCCTTCTACACAAAGGCTTCAGTCCACTTAAGGTTTTTGACTGTGAAAGATGCTATTGATAAAAGATGGGCTTGCATCCTGGAGCAAGTGGATACCTCTTCAGAAATCAATTTTAGATGTATAATCCTCCTGTGCTTCCTGAGCAATTATGATTTGGCTTGATCTAAGGAAAGACTTAAGGCATGAGAATTCAAGGGTAATATATATATTTTTTAATTTAAAAAGTGGTGATTTTTCTTGTATCCATTGATATGATCTTTCTTTTCTGTCCAGTATCTGCTCGCAAGAAGAACCTTTTGGATTAAACTCTGCTCTCACCATTTCACTTCGAGATTGGTTTTTGGTTTGGAAAAGGAATAAATACAGGCTTCTCTAATCCTAAAGTCAAGAAAAATGACGTTCCAAAAGTGAAGGAGCAGTGTGCAAAACTAGCTACCTATAAACAGTTTGGAATGGAAGCGCTTCTCAAAACGATGAGTGGGAAAGTTTGCAGGTGATATGCAGATTGGGGGAGTGGTAAATAATGAAGAGAAGGGGTCACTGATTCAGAGCCATCTGGATTGCTTGCTAAGCTGGGCTCAAGCAAACAATGTGTTTTTAATACACCCAAATGCAAATAGATGCATGTAGGCTGTATTTACAAGA